TCATGCTAAGCTGAGGCTTGTGCACAACAAGTAAAAATCCAAAATCCTGATGCTGCAAGCTATCTATTGTTGAATGCTTCGAAGCAGCTGAATTAAGGGTATAAAAATCTGTAAAAAGCAGCAGTGTGTGTGCTTCAAGAAGAAAAAAACTCGTGTGCTGACACCATCCCCTGTTGCTTTTGGGACGCTGAAAGAACAGATCGTCTCCCTTCAAGGATTGTGCTATGGACTATGCCTGTCAGCTTTGCAGCCCGAGTAGCTTGGACTGGTGAGATCCCAGCGCTCTCTCTCTCTCTCTTTTCACTCTAGGCATAAATTTCTGAACCTGAACTGTATCAGTTAAGCTTGAGCTAAGTTTCCCCAAATACTTAGTGAAACCTGGGTAGTATTGTAATTGTTTGTGTTTGTTTTTTTTTCTTTTGCATGTCTATTACTACTAGTACCATTATATATTTCCTATGCTTAGCAATAAATAACTTTTATAGTCAAACTGGTAGTAATGGGGTATATTTTTCCTTCCCTGCTTCTCTTTCCTCCCGTGCTCTGCAGCAACGCTTCTTTTACCTAAGCTAAAGATCCCTGTGAAGCCCAAAAATACTGTAGGGTCTGCTCATCAAGAGGCCAAAGATTGGGATGTGCTGAGTTTGAAACACATAAAGGGATCAGCTTGTACAGGCTGATTGACCCAGTTTGACTCAGAGGTGCCCTTATAAACTGAATGACGGCCCATGAGGGTGTCAGCTGGACACCCAGCCGGATTCAGAGGGATTCTGTTTACCTGTGTGCTTGTGTCTGACTGCAGTTTATTGCTGCTCTGATGAACTGATTCTTGGCATATGAGGGTGTCAGCCTGTCCATGTTGATCAACCCGGCTGGGTTAGGCATGTCACATTAATTTGTGTGTGTTTGTGTGTATGACTGATTTGGTGACTGGAGGAACCCAGCTCCATTGGGGGTGAGGGCTTGCAGAAGGGAGATATACAGCTCCGTATAGAAACACAAGTAACACAAGCAGCACATTGACAGAATTACCAAGACCCTAGAAACTATCCCTAATAAATGAGCACACCCGAAGTAATGGGCAAATCTGGTAACATAGTCTAGTCTTAAGGTAAAATGCAGAAGCTATTTCTTGCTACATGTCAATGAGATACAAAGTGGCAGAGTGGGACACAGCCTCTCTATTGTGAAATGCTTTTCAGGGGAGGATAAAGGCACAGCGATAGGCTAAGGACTGGGCTCTTTCATCAGCTGAGAATTCCTAGTTTGGCATATATATCAAGGGCTGAATTTTGCATTGAGGTGCAACATTGATAACTCAAATATATGGAATGGCATTGGCAGAAGAGTGAATGCAAAAAAATGGGTGATCAGTGAGGGAGATGTTTCAAGGTGGACAGTATTTTAATTAAGAAAGCTTAGTAGGTCTATCCTGTAAGGGTATGGCTTCTTAAAATGGGACTGCTTCTCAGCATTGATCCTTGTTATTTCTGAGCTTAAAAAAAAAAAAAAAAAAGTCTGGCTCTGGCACAGGCATCCTAACTGCCCTTTGCCACATCACTTAATCTCTCTGTGCTTCACAGCTAGGGACTGAAATTATACATAAAACAGTATAAATGATCGGAAACTGGTTCAAATCTGTAACACAACAAAAGCTCAGTGCTCATAAACCACTTTCAAAATGGCCCAAACCAGTGTAAGATAAACCTGAATGGATGTAGTATCAGACTAAACGGATTTAGGTTAAATTGGTTTATTGAACTTCTGCCCCAGATTCCTTCCAGATTCAAGTTAACTCAGAGTCTCCCAGCATCGCAGGATGCTTTCCACCTCCCTGCAAAATCCCCTCACAGGTTGGGCAAGCTAGCCTGCCTGAAGCTGTCTGCTCTAGCTAAGAAGGGAGGTTTGCTCCAGTGCCCCCCAGCTTCTATCTGGGACCACTGCAGGTATGCGGCTGCATTTGTGGAATCAAAAGTGAACGTCCGTTCCCTTGCTTATCGGTTCAATCTACGCAGCTTGACTAACCTGCAAAGATTGAGTCAATTCAGCCTCAGGCTTTTGACTATCTGTACTTAGCTCATATGTTCCTTCTCCCACTCTTTTTTGTTTTATTTAGCTTTTAAGCTGCTCACCCTAGAGATGGTCCCTTACTTTGAGTTTGCACCATGCCAAGTGATTTGAGGCCCCTAAGTACTGCTATAATGATAATAGACAGCAGTACTTTGAGAGAGACTACCCAACTCCTCTTCCATAGGCTTGGGGATCCCTTTTTGCTTCAAAGTCAGTATATGTCTGTTGTGCCAAGAAGGCAGTATTCAAGGAGACAGGGGAGGGAAGGGTGTACGTGTCTGCTTTGGTGCCTTATACAGAACTATGGAGATCTGCATCACCACAGTGAGAAGGAAGAGAAGGGTTGGTGAACCTTGTTACATGGCTTTATTTCATGTTCTGCTGCTGTGGAAGCTCCCAGGCACTGCATAAATTCTGTTCCCATTCAAGGCAAGGAGAATAGGACTCTTATTTGCCAGTAGTGGGGAGATTAACTAGAGGTTAATTGACAGAGTCTTGCAGCACTACAGAGAGGGGCACTGCAAGGGTCAACTATCCCTCAGTTGGGAGGCAGACGGGTTAAACATTTTTCCCTCTTAAGGCCATGCGGTACATCCCTGCCTGACCCAGAACCAAATCTCAGTTTCTTGACTCCCACATTCAGTCACAAACCCACACTCTCTTTTCTAATCTCTATGCTAGGGCTGTCCAGTTGTCCACCCATAGGTCATATGCAGCCCATGTGGTTTAATTTCCAGGTTGCAGGCTCCTGTTAAGCTGCCACTCTCCCCATTGTTGTGCTGCATATTCAGTAGGCTGGGGGTAGAGTATTGCACTGGATGCATGATGGGCATCTCTGGGAGCCCATGTGGTGTGCCACTCAGGGCCCACAACCGGTGTGGTATATGGTCGGTGTCCACTTAGAACTTAGCCCTGCTCTATGCTATGAGGTTGGACACACATGCTGGTATGCCATAAATGACATTCATGCCATATGCAAATATTCAATATTCATCATATATTCGAAAACAAGCTTTGCATTTTTGTAGCCTTACTTACCAAGACAGCAGAGCACAGGAGTTTTATACCTGGGCTGCAGAATCCCGAGAACAGCACTGATAAACCTTTAAAGAAACGAACCTGAAAACCTGAACTGCAGTAGCACTAGCAGGCACTCGGTAATATGACTGCATTTACTGCATTCATGCTGGTGGGCTTTCTTGAGTGTGAAGTAAACATCTTTTGAATGACTTGATGCCAGAGGGGGCATGTATGGCATCCTCAGACAGCCTCAGTGAGACATCTGACTGATTAGATATTAAGGTCAGACGCTGAGATACCAAGGTCATGCCACATCCTGTTTTCCTCATATTGCTGGGGCCTGATAAAATAGCAGTTGGTAAGACCACCAATCAGATAAGGTGGCAATTTTCGACAGTCTCAAATTATTGTTACAGCAAGGGAGGTTCAGATAAGATCAATCAGACACTGGGATGATTTAGCTATTCCTGAGATTTTTTTTCTTCTTCTTCTTCTTCATGAAGACACTTTACCCAGCCAGTCTTTTGAATATGAATGCAGGGGGAACACTCATGGAATCTTTTACCATCCTCAGAGCAAAATACAAGGGTTGATTTATGGGCTGGATTACAGAGAAACAGTGATTCTTTGCTCTTTATGATGTTTTGTCGGAAGGTGCGGTACCCTGCAGTCAGAACTGCATGATTTCAACTCGGTTTTTACAAAAGGGGCTACAGAGTGGGGTGGCAGCGAGTACGACAGCTCTTGTAACACAGCAGTTAATAAGACACAAGCACATAAATCATGTGACAGGTATTGAGTCTAACAAGCCAGGGCAGCAGCTTTTAAAAACAGCCATTTAAGTTACTACCCTGTCAAAGGAAGCTGACTGCACACCATGGGTTTTATGCCACAATTTGCCATTAAAATGTTTCTTTTTTTTGCTGCTTGGAAAGTTTCAAAAACATTCTGGACTATCACAGCTGCACCATCGCTCTAACGCTACCAAAAACATTTTGGGAGTCCAAGGAAAGCAGAAGGGGAGAGGAGTTTGGAGTGTCTCAGCCGTGCCAAGAGATGAATCTGTACTGCTACAATGTCCTTCATTCTGACAGATATTAGTCCTGAAGTTACCTACATTTCACCTCAATTCTTTTTTTATTGTTGAAACCACTTTACATCAGAAAGAATAGTAAAATGGACAATATAGAATGTCCTTTGCATGAAGGGAACAATTCCTATTGCATTGCATCTCCTGCATACTTTTTTGTGTCCCCTTCATTCTGAGCCTTTGTTACACAGCATGTCATATATTTGAACCTTGTCAGGCTGAGAAGGAGAGACAAGGCCAAAGCAGTGTTGTGCAACGGATACACATCCCTGTCTTTATTTCTGTGTCTAGGTAGGAGTCAATGGGTGATGGCACAAGAATGCTGTCATTAATGCACAGGCATGTCCCCTGTGCTCTCTGTTCTGTGCTATCATATTTTTACTAGAGCTCATCAGGAAGTGCTTTATGTTCCAGCCAAACATTTCAATGAGAACAAACCAGCTTACTTCTTCATCACATTTTTCTTCACAAGGTTTGTGGGTACCATCAAGTGTCAGAACTGAAAAATCTCTGACAGAGGAAGTATGTGTGCGCGCGTGCGTGTGTGTGTGTGTGTGTGCGCGCGCGCACCCATGCATGTGTACACACTTGCTGCTGCTGTTCCCAGTTGCTGAAAACCAAAAAACCCCTTTAGACTTTTCGAAATAAAGAAACAAAAATGCCCCTGCCCCCACAATGAAAATGGATCTTTCCCAAAGAAATTTCTACTTTGATTAAAAAAAAAAAAAAAAAAGATTGTTATTGGTGTTCGTGTTGATGTTGGTACTGAAAAAGCGATTTGAATGAGCATTTTGACCAGATTTACTTCTGATTTTCATAGACATGGATCATCCCGTGCATCTGGAATCCTCCATTGTCAAGCTTATATGTAGTGGACCCTACTGCACCATGCAAGAATGATTTTCTTCCAGCATCGCACACTGCTTTCTAACAAAAGAAAATATATTTTCTACAGTTTATGTGCTAGCGATGGTCTAATCTGAGATTAATTCCACCTGTCTGTCCCCAGGAGTTTTTGTCAGTGGGTAAACCAAGTCTGTGGTGGTGACTTCTTTTTACATCTGATCTTGACAATGTCAGGAAAAGTAGAAAGTGCTTCAGGGAAGATTCTTAGTAACATCCCATCAGCAATATTGCATTATGTTAAGTTCAATGAGGTCATTTTGTTTCCATTATAAGTTTCTAGCTCTGTGGACACTAATGGGAAGGAAATATAGTCCATCTTGAGATAGAAGCCCTGAAGTGTGGGATACCGAAGGATGTCATCAGTGAAATGGGATCCTAGGAACTGCCAAACTGGAATGCAGCAAAGGCCCATCTAGTTCAGTCCTGGCTCTGACAGTGATCCATGTCCAATGTTTATGGGAAAGGGGGGTGGAAAAAAAGCCTATAATGCACCTAGCTTTGGTACAGCGCTAGGGAAGACATTTATTCCTGACCCTAGGCTAATGATCAGCAAATGCCAAGAAACAAAAGGTGAACAGCACAATTACGTGATTTTGCTGCTCAGGATGATAAAAAAGAGTTGCACAATTGGTGTTGTCTGTTGCTATAGCACGATGTTTGGAAGGACTGCTTGCCTGGAGAATGGCTCTATTCACAAGGCGGAGTCCATAAATTTGGAGAAATGTCATATAGGCAAGATGTCTGACCTGCCTGTATGTCACCAAGCTCCTCAAGATTCGACAGTGTTGGATCCACATCTGGTGCAAGTAAACACAATTGGGTTTTCAGCTGGTGTAAATTGGCACACCTGCATCGAAGGCAGAGACGTGCTAGTTTGCAGCAGCTTGGAACTTGACCATTGATTTTTCTGCTGTTGCTGGCTTCTCAGGGGTCAGGGAGGGATGTGCTGGTTGTTGTTTGTTCATTGCATTTGTTTGGTGTTTGTGGCACTTGAATAGGTTCAAGAAAATGCTTAACAACACTAGAATTAGTTGAATAATATTAATTGAATAATTTATTCAATCAATTCCATTATACTTTTCAAATAATATATATTTGATATTCACTGTGAGAGAGAGGTGAGCGGACAACAGGAAGCATGTCGTTTGGAAATTATGTATTTGTCAAATTTTATGGATATTTTTCAAATGAATTATTTGGATTTTATTTTATGTTGTTTTCCCAGCTGTTGCCTTTCACAATTCCTCTTCGTATATAGGCTTTGCCCTGTCATGTAGGGATACCCCAGCTAGTAATAAACAAGCTGGCTTGAGTCTCAGCAGTCTGCTGAGAACCAGGATAATTTAGCCACCTGGACCTCTGCCCCACTTCAGCTAGGCTGCTGCTGGTGCCCGACCTACCTTGTTTACAGCTAGCTTGGGTATCTCTACATGGTATTGCAGGCTGCAGTGTGGAAAGAAGGAGCACAAAATGTTGGCAAATAATCTACAGGTTTTATATTTGCTTCTCATTGAAGGAATCCTTTCTTAGCTCATTATCATTGCCTAGTTTCCATGAGAGCTAACAAAATACAAGTCTCTACATATGGGGCCATCTTTGCAGTAACAGAGCTTGCTGGCAAAGATCTATAAGGCCAGTGATGTATCACTCCTTGAGACTTTAATGATGGGTGCTGGTACTTGGTATGCCTGCTTCTTTCTAATGGCAGCCACATTTCAGCCTATTGAATTCAATGACAAAATTCCCATTTATTTTCATAGAGCCAGCATTATATTCCAAGATTACACAGATGATAAATAATAAGAGGGAAATAATGAGTTCACCTCTTTCTCCCCTTGGACATGAAGAGATTCCTGCAACGCAGCAGACTTCAAAGTCACTTTTAGCACATTGCCCATGCTAAATAAACAACATGATAATTACATATGTTCTGAATTATGCCCTTGTTCCCATGCTTACAAAATGGACTTATTTTCACTGAGTCTCTTTCAAAGAGACTGTATAATATAATTCATGCAAAAGTGATTTTTCTTTCTCTGCTTTCAGAGTTTGAATATTGTTTAGGTTTTTTTGTGATTATTTATTTTATTTTACTTTACAGAATGCGAAGAATACAACAGCATAAAGTAGTCTTAAAACAAAGAGTGAGTTACTAGCACTCTTAGGATAATAACAAAGTCTATATTTAACAAAAGAATATGACCAAAATGCAAGAAAATAACTTTTCAATTTTGAATGTGAGCCATCTCCCCACCCATTCTATAAATGTGCCTCAAACTTTCTTCCAGTAGTTGCTATATCAACATTTTTGGTGTTGATGCAATAGCATCTGGACACCTTTGGTAGCATCTGGACATAAATATTAAAAATCAACAAAAACATGACATGAACTACCCATATGGGTAGCCAAGTAAAGCCACAGCCACTGGAATTCATTAAGGGCCTTCATCTGCAAAACTGAATGCCTCATCTCTTGTTTTCAGCTTATCTATCATCTTCCTTTTAAGATGCAAGTGAACCTGCCTGTTGATTAAGTTTCTCTTTCATCAAATTGGAAATTACTCATCCTGGGCAAAGTGGTGATCCAATTGGAAAAACACCTGCATAAAGCTAAAATCCCAATTTGTCAGGGCATGGGAATGTTAAAATATTCATTTTTGTGAAACCCACAGTTGGAAGGTTTTTTTCTGTAATGCCTGCCATAGTTGGAGGAAATTGCATGAGCATGGTTTAGGCCACAGTTAGGTTGATAGAAAAGTTGTTCTGTGAGAAATTACTTCCCTATATTTTTCTAAGAGCTGGGTCTTGGAGTGCTCAAGTACTCATGAAGTATTTCTGTTGAAAATCACCAGAGGATAACCCTTGATGATCCTTTCGGGTGTGAACACTGCAGGAAAACACTAGCCAACATGCTTTCCTCTTCTAGATTCTCCCTGCCATTATGTATCCTTTCAGGGATAGAAATAAACTAGCTCTACAAGTGTTAATGCTTGGAGGGGAATAGCCAGAAAGCATTTAATTCTCTCAGATCCAGCAAACTACATATGTATGATGAGAACCAGCATACTTTCTTATGCATGTACAATATCCAAAAAAAGCTGCCTTGAAAGAATATGAAGACTGAAAAATATGTATGGCCCCTTAAACTCATTCTTGGAAATAACAAAACTATTTTAGCTGAATTAAAAAAAAATCAGCCTGAGGTAGACATCTGCCATAGCAAGTCTTAGCCTAAATGGGTAAAGCTTAACAAAGGACTAAGTAACTGAAGCAAGGTCTTACAATAGAAAATGTCAGCTGACTTTAGCTACGGTGCTGCCAGCTCTGCCTGTAATAATGGCTAAGGGCTAAATTGTGGCATACAGTAATGGCTGCTTCTTGAGTGGACAAGAGATGCACTACAACAGGGTATCTCCAAAAGGTGATGTGCATCCTGGAGACTGCAGCCTCAGTCCACCCATAAACAAGGGTATCACACACTTGCTTTTCTGGCTAGCCAAATCTTAAGGCTGATGGGAGAGGGGAAGTTTTATTTCTGCCCTTGTTGAGTGTCTTACATAGTTCTTATCCTTCCTGAATTCAGTGATTCCTATTGGCTTCAAGGCAGACTGAGGAATGAAGGGGAGCAAGATTTAATCCCCTTCAGCCAACAAGTTTACACTATATGGGTTACAGTACAAGGGATAGCTATTCTGCCAGTAATAGAAAGGAGCTGAGTGTTTTATTATTGATTTGTATGCAGGATTAGAGGGCTTCCCAACCAAGTTTGCGGATGGCACAAAACTGAGGGGCTCCTTGGGAGAACAGGAGAATTCAAAGGGATTTTGATAAGCTGGAGAAATGGGCAATAGACAACCAAAGGAAATTAAACAAAGAAAAATGCAAGGTGCTGTCTTTGGAGAAGAAAAAACAAATGCACCAACACAAGATGGAGATAATTGGCTGAGAATTAGCATTGCTGAGAAGGATCTTGGCTTCATGATGGAACACAAATTTGACATGAATCAGAATTATGCCAGAAAAGGAAATCCAATTTGGGGCATTATTGAACATTAATAGATATATTATATGTAAGACATGGGAGATAATATCTCATTCTGCTCAGCACCAGTTAGGCCTCAGTTGGAGTAGTGTGTGCAGTTTTGGCCTCTGCACTAAGAAGGATGTGGAAAAATTGGAAATGGCCTAGGGACTGGCAATAAAGATGAAGAAGGGGATGGAATGCAAGCTACACGAGGGAAGGCTGAAAGAGCCAGGTGTGTTTAATTTGGAGAAAATGGATTAAGGGAAGGACACTATAGCAGTTTTTAAATATCCAAAAACTGCCATAAAGGAGAACTACTATTCTCCCTTGCCCCAGAGGACAGGATACAAAGCGATTGGTTTAAATTATAGCAAAACAGATTAAGATCTTATCACAGAAAAAAACTTCCTATCTGTAAAAGCAGTAAGATAATGGAACAATCATGTGGAATCTCCTCCATTAGAGATTGTGAAGAAGAAGCTGGATGAGCATTTGTCTGGGATGATCAAGGAATGGCGTACCTTGCATCCCTGCATCTAGGGGTTGAACTGGATGACCAGAGAGATCCTTTGTAATCCTTTAGTCCTGTGGATCAATGGTAAAGCTTGTTCATGGGATTCTGAAGGCTGGGTCCAGTCTTGAGAGTGACTTTGGGCTCTCAGGCACACCCTTCACTGATGTACTCTGGGTTTGAAGTGAACACGATAATTCATGTGGGCAGGTTGTGGCTGGGGTGTATTGAGCCCCCACTTTTCCAAACACATCATTATCATGATGTAAACAAGCCCTTAGGTACTTAATGTATTAGTTATCTAGTATGAGATTTTGGTGTCTGCAGGAGGAGTTTTTGCAAATATGTGGGAAATCCCTCTGTTCCCACAATTGTCCCACAAGCATGGGCACACAAGCAGAGGAATGTAAGGGCTCCGGTTGGAATATATGAGCACCTATACATGTGCC